GGGAGGGGGAGTTTTATTTTCTAAGTTTAATGTTTAGCACGTACTACATTTACATGCATTAAGAAATCAAAAGTTCTAAAAAAGATACTGTGACATGTCTCCCTCTCACCTGTCCCCTCCCCCAGCACCTAGCTCTCTCCACAGGCAACCATATTATAAGCTTTTGTGTATCCTTCAGAATTATCCTATGCACATTCAAATAAGTATACATTTTTTTCTTTTTTTTAACCAACTTTTATGTCCACTATTTTATTCATTTAATGTATGAGCTTGCACATTTTAGAAGGATTTTCTGTATCAGGTTTCATTGTCTTCTTTATTTTGGTGGTCTCGAGAAGCTATCTTCATGTTTGCACCACACTTGCATCTTTCTCAAAATTGTGGGAATTTCCATTGGGTCTCTGAGGCAGAAAGAAACATGAAACATGGCAATATGTTTTGTGGAAACTCCTGGGTGAAGTGATTTGATATACATCATTGTTGTTGTTAGGTGCTGTCGAGTTGTTTCCAACTCATAAGGACCCTACGTACAACAGAACAAAATACTGCCCAATCCTGTGCCATCCTCACAATGATTGCTATGTTTGAGCCCATTGTTGAAGCCACTGTGTCAATCCATCTTAAGAGTCTTCTTCTTTTAGGCTGACCCTCTACTTTACTAAGCGTAACATCCTTCTCCAGGGACTGGTTCCTCCTGACAGCATGTCTAAACTTCGTGAGATGAGGTCTCACCATCCTCGCTTCTAAAGAGCATTCTGGCTGTACTTCTTCCAAGACATCATACAATGCTTATTTCATATGCTTAATCAAAGTTAGGTTCACCAATGCATAATTCATCTTCCAGTAAAGTAGGAACTTTGGGACTACAATTGCTCTGTAACACATGAACCCTATTATTTACTGTTCTTTTATTGTTTATGCCCATTTTATGCCTTCACACTTGCTAGTCTCTCTGCCTGGTATACCCATCTGTATGTTGTATGGCTCGCCTCCCCTACTCAGCACTCCAATACGCTTCCTTTACTAGCATTTATCACACTGAACTCTCTTTGATGTCTCTTACTGTGTGGTGAGTTCCTAGAGGGCAGGAACCATGACTCAGGAGATTTTTGTATTACCAGGCCCTAGCACACTGCCAAGGAGCCCTGGTGGTGCAACAGTTAAGCGCTCAGCTGCTACCTAAAAGGTTGGCAGTTCAAATCCACCCAGCCCCTCCACGAAGAAAGACCTGGCGATCTGCTTTTGAAAAGATTACAGCCAAGAAAACCCTATAGGGCAGTTCTACTCTGTCACATGGGGTCGCTATGAGTCACAATTTATTGAATAGCATCAAAACCAAAAAAAACCAAACCCATTGCCATCTAGTCGATACCGACTCATAGCAATCCGACAGAGTAGAACTGCCCCATAGGGTTTCCAAGAAGTGGCTGGTAGATTCAAACTGCTGACCTTTTGGTTAGCAGCGAGCTCTTAACCACTGTGTAACCCAGGCTCCAACAACAGCACACTACCTGGCAATATTATTACATTTTTACTTAAGTGTTGGTTTAAAGGAAAAAAAACTATATACCTCAGATGACACTTGAGAAGGTAACATCTAAGACTGGAAAATTAGTTGTTTTTCAGGGAGAGCAAAAAGTACACAGAAGTGAAAAAGTGCATTTGGGGAACTGCTGATAGCTCGGGTGACTGGGGTGCACAGTTTACATAAACAGGGAGAGAAGGCTGAAAAGGTAGGCAGGGACATGCTTCCAGGGTAAGTTCAAAAAGACACCCAGTCTGGAAGATGTTTCCCAACTTGCCCTGAAGCCTTACCTCCAGCTACTCCAGCCTCCTTAGCGCTACCTATATCCAATTCCTTGCGGTTTCTAAGACATCATACTCTTCCACACCTCTAAAGCCTTCCTTTGTGCTTTGTCCTTTGTCCTTTGCTGGCAACGCTCTTCTCCCTTCTTCAAAACTTAGCTCAACTGTCACTTTCCCAGGAAAGTTTTCCTTGCTCCATCAGTCTAATATAGACACCTCCTCCCCTGCTGACCTCTCTCATGCTGTTATAGTTCACTGATATGTCTGGCTCCCTCACGAAAGTCTAAGTGTTGTGGACCAGGCTTCTTCACCTTTGCATCTTCAGTGCTAGACATCCATCATGTTTGTTATGCTACTCTAAGGAAGACGGACCCCTATTTTCCATTATGCCCTCCTCCCAACATTTGAAAGCACGTGAGCTCACTTTGTAGACTGTAGGTCCAAGTTCACATAATACTGGAACTTGAAATGTAGGTAAAAGAATTTAAAAAATTTTTTACATTAAGTCACTCTTGGAGGTACTGCATCCCCAGCTAGCCAAACCAGGTGAAAGCCTTGCCAGAGAAGGGTTCAAGGCTCTTAGGTTACGCCAAGGCATTCTAAACGTTTCCCTGTTTAGCACACTCTCCTGAGCTCAACTTGTAGGAAACAGACAGCACCGCCCAAGGCGGGGACCTGGACTTGCACAAAGAGCTCTTCCAACCTCCCAGTTTGGTGAGTTACGAGGTCTTGTACTGTGCGTGAAAAAGAGCAAGATCCAAGGTCTCCGGCCCTGCCTCGCTCAGCATTTCTTGCTGAGCAGGTTCCCATAACCTCGCAGGGCTCCGGAACTAAACCGGTTGAAGATGCCGAAAAAGACAAATAAGGCGCCAGTAGGGAGGAGGGGCTGGAGGCCTTTGTTCTGAGAGGTTTCTATTCCGCAGACAGCATCCGCCAGGGGCCCTGCTCCCAAGCGCTCCCCGTCCCCTACGAGCGGCGGCAGCCGCCTCACAGATTTGGAAACTCCGAGCAGTCTCGGAACTGCAGCGCAGCCTGGACGATCCCTGCTTCCGCCCGAGACTTCCGCATCCCGAGCCCGCCGGGTGAAGGAAGGCGCTCTAGAAGGTTCCAGGAGCTCCCGGGCTTACTGCCACCCCCAACAAGGCCTTTCGGCACAGCCCCTTCCACCCCGAGCGCCCCCGCGCCGTTGCCCAGGTAACCGAGGGGGGGTGGCAGCGGCCAGGAGGGGCGGGACTTCCGGCGAGTGACGCGCCGGGGCTCGGCTACAAAAGACGGCTGCGGCGCGCAAGGGGGAACTTTCCAGAACGCTCGGTTAGAGGTGGTGGAGTGGTGGCTGCCCGAACTGCGCACAGCGACGCGCTCCTTGCCGCTCCCCCACACCAGCCTTGGTCCGCTCAACTGTGAGTTTCAGCCCTCGCGCTTCCCCTTGTCTCCGCCTGGCGCCATTGGTGGCGCCGGGATTCCGGATGGAGCCGCGGGCGGGAGGCGGTTGGCTCCGCGTGGGCGAGAGGGTTGTCGGTTCCCGTATCCACGATTCCCTATTTGGAGGGCTGGTGTGTGACCCGGTAATCTATCCCCGGCTCGCAGTGAATGGGTCCAAAATCATCTTGAATTCCCCCACTCCTTATCCAGTCTGAGGACCCCAAGGAGGCGCCGCCTTCCTGCTCCTCTGTCCGCGCCCCCGCGGCCCCCACCCCCGTCCGCAGTGGCTCGGGGTGGGCGGCCCAAAGCGCACGCGCAGAGGGAGGCAGGGGGCGAGGGGCTGCGGGAGGAGCTTGCAGCTTTCGTTTCTTTCTCCCCACCCTCTCTTTGTTGAGGGCTGGGCTTCGCTCTGCGCTCCTTCGATTCTTGGTGGGCGGGAGAAAGGAAGGAAACCTTAACGGTCGGCGCCAAATGCAGGGAGAAACCTGGCGAGATGTAAAGTACCCTGGCTTTTGGGGCGAGAGGGTTCGACGGTGGAAGCGGAGGAGCTGTAAACCCTGTGATTGAGAAACATCCCTAAGGACTGGGGGGAAGGGAGCTGTCTGTCTGGAGCTGGTGTTCCTGATCCTTTATGTAAACCAGTTCCCTGCCCCCACCCCAATTGTGCCCAGATGTCTTTCTGGGGAGTATATAGCGTTATCAGACTTATCAAAGACAATGATAATGTGAGAACCGATGGACTGAACCTATTTGTGCTCCTTTTTATTGTGACTGGCTGTACCACCTCTGGGGAAGGAAAACAAGCAGTCCAGATGATAATATGTTAGTACCGATGCTTTAGTGTGGGACAGTGGGAACCAACTGGTAGAAGGAGGCTTTTGAATTATTTTCTAGTAATTACTAGTTTATAGTTAGTTTGTTAGAGTCTGTGGCTGAATTATCACAGTAATTGTTACCTTTACTGTGAACTTTAGGTATGGAGGTGTGGTGTTCTTCTCATCAGATTTGGCAAAAGACCCATTTCTGTCTTAACTCTGATTTGATTGATTAAAACCACAAGTTGAAAGTCGGTTAAAAATGGCATTTTCTATTTCAGGCTGTAGAAAATGGTGAAAGAGACCACTTACTATGATGTTTTGGGGGTAAAACCCAGTGCCACCCAGGAAGAGTTGAAAAAAGCTTATAGGAAGCTGGCCTTGAAGTACCACCCTGATAAGAATCCAAATGAAGGCGAGAAGGCAAGTAGTACACCCTTAAACATATCTGAATAGTTCTTTCCCAGGTGTCTAGTGTTTATAGTACCACCTAAAATAGACTATATCTAAATGGCAGAACGACCCCTGGTGGCATGATAGTTAAGCGCTGGGCTGCTAATCGAAAGAAAGGTCAGCAGTTTGAACCCCGCACCCACCAGAGGCTGAATGGGAGAAAAGATCTGGCAGTCTGCTCCTGTAAAGATTACAGCCTAGGAAACTATGGGGCAGGTTGCTATGAGTTGGAATCGACTCGACAGCACACCAGCACCATGGCTATGCTTTGTAACAGTTTTGTTTTAAAAAATGAAATTTATTCTTTTTCTCAAACAGTTCAAACAAATTTCTCAAGCTTATGAAGTGCTCTCTGATGCAAAGAAAAGAGAATTATATGACAAAGGAGGAGAACAGGCCATCAAAGAGGGTGGAGCAGGTGGTGGTTTTGGCTCCCCCATGGACATCTTTGATATGTTTTTTGGAGGTGGTGGAAGGATGCAGAGAGAAAGGAGAGGTAAGACAACCACATGCAGCAAATTAAAGTAGCCATTGCTCAAAACAAATTTTTGAGAAAGCGTGAATTTTAAATGCTTGTTAACGTTGGTATAATATTGACTATGGTGTAGTTTAGATTGAGATTTGACAACAAAATGTTTTTAAAAAAATAGCTAAATCAATTAAGTGGTAACAAATGAGTGTTTTAAAGCTCTTGCACATATCATGATTAATCAGACATTAAGGGAACAAAATAATAGCAACATAATTTCCAGAGTTCTTTTTGACAGGTATTACTGGATTCATAGCAACCCAGTGCTAAATACTGTAGCCTCTTCAATCAAAGGTGATCTGGAGTAAACTTTCTCAAGGTCATACTGCCACTCAACTGTAGAGCCAGGATTGGAACACAGGTTCATTTTCTCCAAATAGCCTGCTACCTGTAATCTTGCATCAGCTTTATTATACCAAAATACGTGCATTTAATATTTAGCAGAAATGTATGTGCAGGCAGTAGAAATATTGTTCACTTCCGTACAGCGTTCTGGTCAGGAGAAGTCAAGTGTCACCTTGTTCCTTGTATGTTTTATACAAACAAGGGCTAATGAGTAGAGGCCAGCTTTAGAACAAATGGGCAAGCCATTAAATTTCACTTCAAGCTTTTTAAGAAGTTGTTGACTCGGTTCTCCATAAAAGATCTTCAAGAAAGCAGTATGTTTTTATTTATTTTTAAGGACTGTACCTTAAAAAGAAAACAATCTAATCAAACTCAGTTGCTCACTAAATTGTTACGATGACTTGTCCCATAGAAAAATAGTGGTGGTTTTTTATTTTTATTTTTTTTTATAAATATGGGATTGGTGTAACAGTTAACACTGGCAGTTTCTTCTTTGTGGCCTAAATCAATGGGAGGTTGCTTTTTGCCTTCTTAGTGTGAGACCAGTTGGACCAGAAAATACGTGCTTCATTAAACTCCAGAAACGTTATTTTTCTTTTCTTCTACTCTAGACTCTATAAAAGTTAAAGTGAGAAGGGCAATTTTCATCATGCCCGAACTAACTACATAGGGTTGTGTTTATGATACAGAACGCAAGAGTGGAGCTAAGAGAAGGATATATAGTAAATGGTATGTAGCACCTCATTGGAAACTAAAGTGTTTACTATACGTGTGCAGAAAGGGGTCTGAAAGCTTTCAGTTAGGCATAAGGTAGTACTGTTTTGTGGTGGATAAAGTCCTTGTTGGGAAGACTACTAGCTGGGAACTTATTAACTAACCATTGGCAGGTGACTAGGTTTGCAGCCTTAGTGTCCTTATATGATCTGCACAGTGAAATATGGCAGTCCTTTGTAGGTACTGACCATGTGGCTCTTTAAATTTAGATAAACTGAAAATAAAAAATTTAGTTCTCAGTCACGGTAGCCTAGCCACATTTTAGTGGCTGCTGTATTGGGCAGCAGAGATATAAAACATTTCCATCATTACAGAAAATTCTGTTGGACAGCAATACTATAAAGAACGTGAGAACCTAACTTTTAAGCAACTAGCGTTGGCCAATCAGTATTTTTTTGCTGCTGTTGTTGATTCAGGAAGGAATAGGAGTTTATATGCTTCAGTGGCAACTCAGTAAATACAACAGCCACATCCCTGGTTAATAATGATTAGTAGGCTTTTATTATGTTGAGAAAATTTGGATGACGTTAATTGGCCATATTGTTCCATACCATGCTGTCTTAGTTACCTAGTGCTGCTATATAACAAATACTACAAGTGAATGGCCTATACAAACATTTATTTTCTCTTCACAGTTTAGGGGGCTAGAAGTCTGAAGTCAAGGCACCAGCTTTAGGGGAAGGTTTTCTCTCTGTTGGCTTTGGATGAAAGTCCTTGTTTCTCTTTCTGCTCTTAGGCGATCTTTATGTGTCTCGGCATCTATCTTACCCATCTCTGCTCTGCTTAAGAGATTGACTCAAGATACACACCACACTAATCTGCCTTATTAACATAACAAAGACAACCTATTCCCAAATGGGATTATAACCATAGGCATAGAGGTTAAGGTGTACAACAGTTTGGGGGACATAATTCAGTCCATAACACATACTAAGTGAAAGGTTCAAAGAATATGTTGGGACAGGAATGCAGGTTTGGATTGATTTATGTGAAATGTGTCCATTTAAATAACGTTGGTTTTCTTGAGTGGTTTTGCAGGTAATTTTTTTTATTACAATCATATAACAGTTTGAAGATTGATGTGATAACGTGACATTCTTTGTATGTAAATAGGTGTTCAGTAAATGTACCCTCTGTAGTTCATCTTTTATTCTTCACCATTTTTATAATGCCTTGAACACAGAAAAGATGCAGCACTTAAGATTATTAATGAGCAATATTTTGTTTTAGGAAAAAACGTTGTGCATCAACTCTCAGTAACATTAGAAGATTTATATAATGGTGCGACAAGAAAACTAGCTCTGCAAAAGAATGTGATTTGTGACAAATGTGAAGGTATGGTCTTTCTAACATCTTAATGTATTAGCTGAAAACTCTGGATATATAAAGCTTCCAAATGTATATTACCCAAATCGTGGAGTAAAAATATGGAGAAAACCACATGACCCTACTACCTAAAGAAAATCAGCAGAATTTAGCATTTCTCTGTGAGTGTATTATAAATGTATTTGGGACCCAGCTAATTAGGTTTTTTTTTTCCCCTCAATGTTCAAAGAGCACTTTCCTATCTAATATTTAAGAAACATTTTAATGGCTTCATAATCTATAATATGTCTCTTTTTGGGCACTTGTTTCATTTATAGACAAATGCTGGCTGTGAACCTCTAAGCTTTTTTATAAATAAAGGTTACTTTATATCTTGTAGACTTACAAACTCTTTAAAATGTTCTGATCTCACAGATGAAGTGGTTCTAAATTCAAGATTCTAAAATGACTCCTTGGGAAGACCAGCAGTCAAGATGTTTGTAGATATTTGAAGGTGATTGTGGCTGTATTTTATCAAAAAAGACTGGATTGTAGATTCTTAGAGTAGTGTTCTATCAGATCTTGAAAATCTTAAAGAATAGTGTTCAGGAATGGTCTTAAGTATTCATTATTGGATTCACTATTAAATTTATACATAATGTCATTTTCTTTGTGAACTATTTAGGCCGAGGTGGTAAGAAAGGAGCAGTAGAGTGCTGTCCTAATTGCCGAGGTACTGGAATGCAAATACGAATTCATCAGATAGGACCTGGAATGGTTCAGCAAATTCAGTCTGTGTGCATGGAGTGCCAGGGCCATGGGGAACGGATCAGCCCTAAAGATAGATGTAAAAGTTGCAACGGAAGGAAGATCGTTCGAGAGAAGAAGATTTTAGAAGTTCACATTGACAAAGGTGAGTTTGAGCCGTTTCTCGTTCTGAAATCTTGAGTGCTACAGGGTGTTTATTAGTGCATTGCATTTTATAGTTCATATGATCCTGTCACCCAGAGATAGTGCTTAGCTACTTGGTAAATAATAAAAGGAACATATTTGGGATCTACTTGGTAAATAATAAAAGGGACATATTTGGGATCTCCCCAGTTAACAGAATCATTTTTCTGACATTCTGACATGGTGGCACTGTAAATGATTGAATAGTGTTCCCGTTATACAGCTATACCAAACCTAATACATTCTCTCTGGTTAAAAATCCTTCCACCCCCCCCCCCTTTTTTTTTAAAATAGCAATTAAACTCTTTGTATACATTCTTAACTTTCTCACGAATTAACTAGATTAAGGGATATATGCATACTTTTTAGGGGTTTTTGGAGGGAGGCTTTCTGTTAGTTGATTAGTTTTGTCACTTTCTAAAAACATTTAAAAAATGTATTACAGGAATACCTGTTCATTGTAGAAGTTTTAGAAAATTTATGTAATCCCAAAGAAAAATAAAATCCATATTCTGTTACTCTGCATAATCGATACTGTGATACCTCCTGACCTTGCTATTTTAAAATTGTTATATTGTATATTATTTGGAACTGTTAACATCACAGTATGTTTCCATATTAATACATATTTCTTCATTAACTGGCTGCAGTAGTATTCTACCATGTGAATTAAGCTGGTCCCCCTCCCCTATTTTTCCTTAAGAATCATAAATTGAGAAGTAAGTTTTCTTTCTTGGCCAGTTATTGAATTCAGCAAGTCTGTTTATCCCCTTAATTGGCCCATGTTTAGTGGGACATGTATTTTGAATTTTTTTTTCCTACTGGTAGTCCCTCTTGCTACCAACAGCATGTACTTAGGAGGGCATTGGTTGCAAGAGAAGACATTTATGCTGTGTTTGCCCATACTTTTTGAACAACCAGCAAAACCTAGCTGAGTTTAATTGCTTCACCAGTGTGACAAGACAGTTACTTTGTCTTGTATGTGATTGAAGACATAGTATGTTTAATTTGGTTGTGTGTGATATTGTAGTTGCCTTTTTAAGTCTGTAGTTTTTTAGAGGTACATACTGAACTATTGGGATAAATTGATAGTCTGGGTTTTGCTTCATAGTAACTTACGGGGGAATGTGGGTGGAAGTATCATAAACGAAATAAGAATAGTCTTGAGTTGATTGCTGCAGAATCTAGATATATGGAGGTTCATTATACTGTTGTCTGGTTTTATACAGGTTTAATAATTTCCATAATAAACAATAAAAGTTGCTTTTGCCTAGGCAGTTTTAATGATTGGTTTAGGAAATAATGAGAGCGTACTGCTACAATGTAATGATCTGCAAACATAGGTTTTCTTAAGTTTGAAGTGATGCCCAAGCTATTGCTGAACTATTGCAGGACAGAGGTTTGTGTGGTGGAATCTCATTAAAATGTGTTGGTCTTTAAAAAATTTTTTTCACTATTGGAAGATACTCCTCTCTATGTACTTTTTACATTAACTTCATGGACTAAGGGAGTGTCAAGCAGTGATTATCCTTTGTTTTGTTTTTAAAGGGGACTAAACTGAACAGTTAACAAAAAGATGTATTAATTTAAAAGTTTTTCAATGGTTGAAGAGTTACTGTAAATGTTAATTGATGAAGAAAAAAGCAAACTCGTTGCCATCGCGTCAGTTCCTACTCATAGCAACCCTATACGACAGAGTAGAACTGCCCCATAGGGCTTCCAGGGAGCAGTTGGTGGATTCGAATTGGTTACGTTTTGGTTAGCAGCCGAGTGCTTAACCACTGTGCCACCGGGGCTCCGTGTTGATGAAGGTTTCCTCTATATGATTACCACTAGTATAATATGTAGAAGAAAATGTAGATTTATGCCACTGTTGTCCTTCACAAACAATTTGATGTAGGTTCTAATATATAAGGAGTGAGGTGGAATTCTAGTTAACATTAGTCATAATACTTGGCATTTTATTTAATCCTCACAACAGTCATAATGGGGTTGGTCTCTGGGGAAAGTGGAGGCTTAGGAAGGTTGTGCAGCTTGCCTCCTGGGGTAATCCAGCTAGTAAATAGCAGCTCTGTGATTTGAAGCCAGGTCTGTTGGTCTCTAGAGTTTGTGCTCTCTCGTACAATATGCTTCTCAGTAGGAAAGTGAGTTGATCTAACCAAGTAGCCATTTTTAACCATTTATTTTTTATGTACATGCAAACATGCATCTGTGTGTCATAGTAGATTTTGTGATTCCGAGTACAATTAGAAGTTCAATAACAAAATTAATCTTTGTTTTTAGGCATGAAAGATGGCCAGAAAATAACATTCCACGGTGAAGGAGACCAAGAGCCAGGACTGGAGCCAGGAGATATTATCATTGTTTTAGATCAGAAGGACCATGCTGTTTTTACTAGGTAAAAAGTCAACCTGTGTTGCATGTTTGGGTTGGTTGTTTTTAATTTTAATGAGCTTATTATTACTTTTAGAACTTATATCCTGGAAGTACCCTGGAAAAGCATGAGAATTAGGCTATGGATAATGTATTTTGTTGTTTGTCTTAATGGTTGTTAACCATTAAGTTTTGATTATATACTTGTTTTAAAGCAGGCTGTAAAAGATAGGATCCGATGTTAGCTTTTGGTCTCAAAGAAAATTGTTGCCTAATCTGGGACTGAAAGGGTATGCTTCGATCAGGAAATGTTTTGTAGCTTTTATTAGTAATAAATAGGCAGGCAGCAGGTGGGCTGGGGGAAAACATCCCTAGACAAAACTTTGCCCTCGATCTTTGCATAGGCAGTTATTTTGAAGTAAGTACTCTAAAGCTTTCGCCAGTTTCCAATTGAGTTCATGATAAACTGGATTGCTTTTAGTTGTAAATACGTACCATCCAAAACCAATCTCTTTAAGAAACTTCAGATTGCACCCAACTTTATATATAAAAATTCAGGTCCATTGCTGTGTCGTATTTAATACTGATTTTATGGTGAACTTAACACTGAAGCACAAACGATTGATGGTTAACAATGAATGTGTTGAATATATATCCATGGCTAATTTCAAAACATATTGGACTGGAGGTAGAGTTCCAATAAACGTCTTGGCAATGTCATCTAGAAGGAATTGTATATATCGATTATGTCTATTTTCAATTAGTTACAATGGAAACATTTCTCAAGTCTTAAAAATAATAGGAAATGATATCAAGTTCAGGATTGTGGTGCTATCATTAGAGGTGAGTGCTTGAGTTTTTCTGGGAAGCATTGTGCCTGTCTTAAAGATATTTTAGTTACGTGGATTGGAAAAGAGGAAAGTCTAAGCAGGAGGAGGGAGTGGGCTGTTATTAAAAGTAAACGATTTTGTTGAGTTATAAAATGCCAGTCATCATATTACAGGGTTGCTGTGAATCAACCTGAAGGCAACGGACAACAACAAATCAGTTATCTCACGAACATCAGTAAATCTTTACTGTCTCTTGAAACTGGTCATATCCTAGAATCTAAATAATCCCAGATCCAGCCCAGGTCTGTCCAACTGTTAAACAATAATGCCCTCTAACAGTAGTTTTTTTTTTTTTTTTTGAATTGTCTTTTAGTCTCATTCTTGTGAGAATTTTTTTTTTTCCTTTCTGTGAGAAAATAGATTTAAAATTAGGTAATGAGGCAATTTAGGGATGGTAAGTGGTAGAGGCTGCCTATAGAGTGTGTGGAAGGATTCTGAAGCCTTGTCCTAGAAACAGGGCTGGCAAGTTCCATGTGTCTGCTGCTCCCCGCTCTCAGCTCTGTCATTCTTAGAATGGGGAAAGGAGAGAGTCTTTGTGAAAGACACCATTGATGTTAAAGAAGAAAACAGAATTGCTTGCTATGGGCCTTCTGATCATTGATGATTTAAAAGATGTAAATATGTGCCATATTTACATTGATACAGACGAGGAGAAGACCTTTTCATGTGTATGGACATACAGCTGGTTGAAGCATTGTGTGGCTTCCAAAAGCCAATATCCACTCTTGACAACCGAACCATAGTCATCACTTCTCATCCAGGTATGATAACTAGACTAGCTCCACTTTCTAGTCTAGAATTTTCTTTTCATTGTCTGCTGATAGCTCAGTAGTACAGGCACTTGGAGAAAACTGATGTTCTTCCTTCATTACATACCCACCCATGTAGGCTGAGCTGAAGTCATGTGGTCTTGGCTGGTTTTTGTTTTGGCATCCCCTAGAAAACCCATAAATGAAAGGTTACAAAATTGCTTTAGCTCATAAATTTGTTCTTATCAATGAACTAGGATGTTGTCTATTTGTCCCACCTCCTAAAAATCTGGCCATACTTAAGGAAGAACTTTGCTTCAATGTTTTTAGGTCAGATTGTCAAGCATGAAGATATCAAATGTGTGCTAAATGAAGGCATGCCAATTTATCGTAGACCATATGAAAAGGGGCGCCTAATCATAGAATTTAAGGTAAGCTATAAAGTAGCCTGTGAATACTTGAGAACAGTTAACTTACTAAAATCTGGTACAGAATTACATTTTTCTGAATGCCAAGAAACACTAAAAATTTATTGTGTTCTTCCTTGTCCAGGAAGAAATACTCTGATCTAATACTACTCTTGCTTTGTTGAGCGTTCTTTAGTAACAAGTTGGGGTTGGATTTGTTTGCATCATTGGCTGGCTATTTAAAGCGTCGGGGCTGGGAGTGTCTTAAATTGATCTTATTTCAGGATCTTAAAATACTTAAAATAACTATTGTGGATTTTTGGGCAAAATACTATGATAGTTTGTTGATACATTAAAAATGTTTTTTAGTAAGGATGGATTATCTTTTTAAATAAGTTTAACTGTTAAAAAGGATCAGAATATTTTCAGATGGGTTTTTGTATTTTAAAAAAAAAGTATTTGCTGAATAGAATAGAGGTTGTTTAGGTGCAATTTTACTAGGATCACAAAAAAAAAAAAAAAACCTGTGTCATAAGACTTAAAAACTCTAGTTCAGAACGCCAAGTGCTGTGCCTTTTAGAACATATATACTAACCTGACCTGGGACTGGTAGATTCCCCTAAAGGTATATGTTGGATATGTGTTTTTCTTGGGAAAATGAGTCCATAGTAATTTGTCTACGGAGCTAATGATGAAATCTTCTGTAGGTTAACTTTCCTGAGAATGGCTTTCTCTCTCCTGATAAACTCTCTTTGCTGGAAAAACTCCTACCTGCAAGGAAGGAAGTAGAAGAGACTGATGAAATGGATCAGGTAGAACTGGTGGACTTTGATCCAAACCAGGAAAGACGACGCCATTACAATGGAGAAGCATATGAGGATGATGACCATCACCCCAGAGGTGGGGTTCAGTGTCAGACCTCTTAATGGGGGCCACTGAATAATGCTCACTGCTGGCATTTTATATGCAGTAGTGAATAAGTGAAGGACTGCAATCATAATATGCTCACTACTTGCTATTGTTTTGTTTTAATGTTCAACTATAGTAGTGTTTTAAAGTTACATGAAGAATAAACTCAAATATAAAAGCTCTGACTTTGCCCTGTATGTACGATGACGTCAGTGTGCAAGATAAAGTTTAATACTTGTAAAGACTACTTTTGGTTTTTAAAAAAGAAAAAATCCCCCCCTAGTGTTTGTTGGGGCATACCTTGTAATTGTTTTCGGCTGTGCACATGGAATAGCTTAGACTGAAATGCTAGGTATGTGTGTTGACTTCAGTGTATGACCCTTAATTGTTAAGCTGTGAAATTAAAACTACTTAACTGGCAACCAAAAGAAAATCTTAATTTCTAGGGAAGCGTTGGTTTGTATAGTTATTTGTATTACGTGGGATTCATTGTGATGACTGCATTTATTCTGTTGCCTCAACTGTTACTTGAAGATGGCACAATATATAATTTAGCCTGTGATATCAGTGGTGGAAATGATACCTTCGTAAAGAAGGGGTTTATCATCCTGTACTGCTTCTTGAGGTCTTACACTTTTAGAATTGCATTCTATTTGGCTGTGCTATCTTTATATATATATATATATATATATATATATATATAGTATATAGTATATAAAAAAGTTGATCAGTCCTGGGTTTTTTTGTGTTTTTTTTTTTTTTTAACTCCCTCTCTTTGGACCATGACAAGCCCCAAAGTAGGGACTTCAGGAGTTGAGTAACTTCGAAGGCAAAGTGAAGATACCTTTACATGGAGGAGAAGTAATTTGCATGTATGAGAAATGAAAGGTGTTCTTAGGTATGTTACAGGCTTACTTTAAACCATTTAACTTATGCTCCAAAGTAACTGTAATGATGGTAGTATAGCAAATTATGATGAATAGCTTTAATTGTATGTTTAAAAGTCAGCATATGTTGACACGCTTAAATCTGGATATTAGAATTTAGGCAATTCTTGATATGTATGAATTTCTTCTTAATACACTGATTACAAAGCATTTCCAATGTGTGTCACTACAGGCTTTTTTTTTTTCCAGCTCAAAGCCTTGGCTTTTCTCTAATTAAGATAGGTAACTTTTTCTTTAGCTAAAACGAGTAATACCAAAAAAATACTTAACTATCGTCGTTAAATGTTTAATATTAAATTTGGATGGGAAGTGAAAGTAGGGGGGTAATGAGCCAAGGGGGGTTTAAAACTTGGTAAACACTGGAGTAAGAATGAGAGAGCTTTTTGCCTGTTCTGGCCTGTTCTGACCTATCTCAGGTTCTGCTGTCTGTCCTGTAGTCGAGAAGCTTAAATATTTTCAGCCTGAAAGTGGTCAGTATCATAAGTTCCTTTATATAGAACACCAACTTAAAAAGAAGAAACTAAAACTTGGTGTACAAAATGTCTCCCAAGTGGGCCGTGTTTGTTGTCCTTTCTTAATCAATGGTCTCTTCCTCTCCCGTTAGTGTTGGGCTGTCTCTTTAGTTCCTGTGCCAGATAGCTACCCTAATATAGTTGGTGGCTATGGAACAGATGTGTAGGAAAGCAGAGAGAAAAGGCAGGGCATCTTTCCACAGTATTCTGTCCCACAAACTTTTCAAGTCAAGGCAATGAAGAAACAGGCAAAGGTGACCTAGGTGCCTGGTACAGGCTCTGAGTGAACAGTTGATTGCCCCACCCCTCATTTAAGTGGCATCCTGTGTAGGCAGCAATACTAATATACCAGAGTACTCAAAATAATACATGTGACAGATTTTGATTTTAAAGACCTTTTAAAAATCACAATATAAAAATTGTCAGGACACCTAAAAACTAGTTAACGTAATTTTTACAATCTAGGGAAGCACAAACTGACAGGTTTTTTCTGTTGTCTGTATATACAGTCAAGTGCCACATAACGTCCTTTCAGGCAACATCCAACTGCATATTTATCTGTGGTCTGGCTTGTGGCCTCTGGGGGATGCCCCCAGCAAGCCCACCAAGCCTCCCCGCCCCCAACCTGCAGGAACAGGTGCCCTTGCTGCTGGAAGGAGTGGGCACCTGATCCTGCTCCCAAAGGTCGGCAGGTGTAGCAGGGCCTAGCTAGGGCGGGGGTCCTGGGTCGCTGATAACCCTCCCCTGCTGCCCCACCCAGAGCCTCCCAGCCTCTCCCCCATGACTTTCACAGGGATGCGGGCATCAGGTGGTACGAGCCAAGAGCTCACCTGAGGTGTGTGCAACAGGAGCTGCCCCCCTCCCCACCCACCCTCACCCCACCCCACTCCCCACAGCCACAGGTGTTCACATAACGTCCTGTTTCACAGAACGTATCCTGGACATTAAGCAACACGTGACTGTATGTATATATACGTGTATGTATTTTAAGCCTCTTAAGACATTAACCAAGGTCATTGTTCATGAAAGTGTACATGTAGTTTTTCACCCCAGCAGTGATAATGCTTTTTTTGTGATACCTGCTCTCCCCCTGCCCATTCATACATAGAGTTGGCATAGAGGCAGATTTATGTCTTCCGAGGGTGATTGTGAAATTTTGCTTCATAAATCTCTGCATATGGTACTGGTTCCCAGCCTTGGCTACAATTGGAATTACCTGGGAAGCTTTAACAAATAATTGACTGAGTCCTACACTCCAGGGATTTTGATGTAATTGGGCTAGTGTGGCCTAAGCATCACGACAATTCCCATGTGCAGCCAAGGTTGAAAACCACCAATACGGGGATATATATTAGCCACCTGGGACAGGGTAATGCCACTGTAGAGGACTTAGGGAAGGTGAAATAATGGCAGCCAGTGCTAGCTATTGCAAGTAAGTTTTAAACAAGCTCAGACCAGGGAGAGCTTAGATAAATACTTCTTGGCAATTTCTTTTTTGAAATAACATGGGAAAATGAATCATAAGCTCTCAAAGTGCAGTGAATGAGCATGCTAGCAAGCTGCAGCAACCATTTCCAGGGTTTCTGAAGTCTTGTACCTTTAACACTTAATTTGATTATTGTAGCAATCTTGTGAGATAGAAAACACTTACTTTATAGTGGGTTCTAGTGATCAAGTGTTTCTCAAATTTGAGCAGGTTTACTGGTCCACACCACCAGTTTCTGATTCTGTAGGTCTGGGGTGGGACTTGAATTTGTATTTCAAACAAGTTCCCCATGACACTTTGAGAACCATTGTTCTACCCTGGGTGGCGTAAACAGTTAAGAGCTCTGAGCTCCACCACTAATGAGACATTGGCAGTTAAAATCCACCCACAGGTGCCTCGGAAGAAAAGCCTGACAATCTAAAAAAAAAAAAATTGAAAACTGAATGGAACACGGTTCTATCCTGACACACATGTGGTCGCCATGAGTTGGAATCGACTCCATAGCTGGCAACAACTGGTTCTAGCCCAAGTAAAAACACAGCAAAGCCTGGAATCCAGGTCCTGTCTTAAATTCAATAGTCTATTTCACTGCCTGTAGCCAGTTTAGATAACTGTTTTAACAGAATGTGGAGAAATAATGTATGGTTTGCCTCTGCCCAAACCTAAAGTTTGAGTAACTTTGACAGCAGCAAGATTCAGACAGGCAGAGAAAAATCAAACATTGGAATGACCTAATACAACACAATCTCAAAGCGAGTACCTCCAACAGATTCAACAGCATCCAACTCCCATTTACTCCGCCTCTATCTCAGGCACTGTTTAAGAGGCCAGTAACACCATCTCTGACTACCAGATCTGTAAAGCGTAATCTGTAAAGTGTAAAGTGGCGCTACCAGATGTCTCCAGCCCTTGGCAGTTGGCTCCAGCGGGTGTTCAGCGCGCTCGCCAAAGCTCCCCTGACCCAAGCTCCAGTTCCTGCGCCGCTTGGCCTTGCCCACTTGGAGCTGGGCGCGCCGTGCCTCGGCAGGGTCCGCGGCACCTTGCGCATGCGCGGCCCGCCTCTGGCGCTTGCTCGCCGCTTGCCTCGCAGGGAGAGTCGGGCGCTTGGTGGCCCTGGCGGCCTCAGCGTCGCGGATGGTCGCGCTCTTCCTTAGCAAAGGGCTCCCTGTCTTCAGTACTGGAGCGATGGCCACATGGGTTTTAGGAGAAAATCTAGGTGCAGAGTAATGAGAAGAGCATGATCCTGTATTTTAACATTAGAGTGGTTTAAAAAAAAAAAAAAAACTGCCGTGGAGTTGATTCCGACTCAGCAACCCTATAGGACAGTAGAACTGCCCCACAGGGTTTCCGAGGAGCGGCTGGTGGATTCGAACTGCCGACGTCTTGGTTAGCAGCCATAGCTCTTAAATGAAGTTGAAAGATATACCTGGTAGAGGCAGAAGATTCATTTTCATCTTTGCGTCTACTTGTTACACCCAATATATCACTTTGTTAAGAAGAAAGAAGGAAAAAACACATGTAAGGGCACCTGCCTATAGCTGCAGGATTAAAAAATCCAGGCCCTTTCCCCTGGCCTCCTCATACACTGCCATATTTGTCCAGCACATACTTGCTGCTGTGCCACACTGTTCCTGCTAAGGTTCCCTCTGCTTACTTAGATCGCCAAACCCCTTTACCTCCAGCTCCTTCAGAGTCACCTCCAGAAGTCCTTCCTAACCCTGTTGCGCTGGATTAAGTGCCCCCTCCTCCCATTATCAAAAAAGCACCTCAAGCTTTTTTCTTAACACACTATTTTAAAAATCAGTATTTTTAGAGCAGTTTTAGGTTTACAGAAAAATTAGAGTTCCCACAACTATTAACATCATGCATGTGTGATCACTTGTTACAATTGATGAACCAACATTGATACATTAACTGAAGTCCATAGTTGATGTTAGGGCCCACTTTTGTGTTGTACAGTTCTGTGTTTTCCATAAATGCATGCAATATATCCACTATTAAAGTATCATACACAAGAGTTTCACTGCCCCAAATATACTGTGCTCCACCTATTCATCCTTCCCTCCAATCCTCCCCTTAATCCCTGGCAACCTTTGAAGTTTCTATGGTCTTTGTAGTTTTGCCTTTTCCAGAATGTTGGAATTGAAATAAGACAGTCCGTAGCGTAGCCTTTGGAGACTGACTTCTTTCACTCAGCAATATGCCATTTAAAGGTCTTCCATGTCTTTTCCCAGCTTGAGAGCTCATTTATTTTTATTGTTGAGTAATATTCCATTGTATGGATGTACCAATTTGTTTATCCATTTGTTTATCCATCCAGAATGGTATCTTGGTTACTTCTAAATTTTGGCAATTTATGAAAAAAGCTGCTATAAGCACTCGTGTGCCAGTTTTTAGGTGGACTATATTTTCAACTCACTTGAGAAAATGCTTTGGAACACGACTGCTAGATCCTATTGGGACACTATGCTTAGCTTTGTAAGGAACTGCCACACTCTTCCAAAGTGGCTATACCATTCTGCATTCCCACTAGCAATGGATGAGAGTTCCTGTTGCTCTATTTCCTCACCAGCATTTGGTGGTGTCATTGTTTTGGATTTTAGCCATTCTAAAAGGCTTGTGTGTTGCTATGATGACAAACAAGTTTCAGAGGAACTTCTAGACTAAGATGGATTAAGAAAGGCCTGGCAATCTACTTCCAGAAATCAGCCAATGAAAACCCTACAGATGACAATGATCTGATCCACAACCATGATGAGGATGGTGCAGGCCAAGCAGTGCTTTGTCCTCTGGTGCATGGGGTCACCATAAGTTGGGGCTGACTCAACAGCAGCTAACAATAGATGCTATTGATATCTCATTGTTGCATTTTAATTTGCAATTCCCTGATGACAAATCCTAAGCATCTTTTCATGTTTATATGCCATCTGGATATCTTCTTTGGTGAGGTATCTGTTCAAATCGTTTGCCTACTTTTTGATTGGATTGTTTTTGTTGTTGTTGACTTTTTAGAGTTCTTTGTATATTCTGTATAAAGTTTTTTTATCTGACCCATGTGTTTTGTAAATAGCTTCTCTGAATCTGTGGCTTGTCTTTTCATTCCCTCAATTTTCATAGAGCAGAAGTTTTTAATTTTAATGAACTCCCAACTTGACAATTTTTGCTTTCACAGATCATGCTTTTGATGTTGTTTTTAACTCATTGCCAAGCCCAAGGTCACCTAGAAATGAAAGAAATACCCATGTGCAAAACATATTCAAGAGTTTTGTTGGCTTTTAAATTTTTTTCTTTAGCTAACTGATGATGATGCACACTGCAAACAAGACTTGCTAAGTCTCAGGTCCTTTTTCTAATTATTCTTCAGAACAACAGTACATTTCATTGCCAAATCTTCCTCCACATACAAAAGGGTAATGTCAAAACTTTAAATTCTCATAATGGATCCTGAAACTAGTACTATTCCTAAAGTTGGCCAGAACAGTTGAGAAGGCACAGCTGAGAAGAATGAGTGGAAGGATGAGAGGGCAGTGAAATGAGATCTTGTGCATCACCTGGCGTTTCTACATGTCGAGTCTATCCTACTAGCCTAGGAAATGCCTTCCTGCTGTACTTGAGATTCAGGGATAATAATGTTGCCACCACCACTTTATTCTAAGTAAATCAGTTAAGTGGATGAGCATGTATTAAAAATTGCCTCCAGACAGTTGGAAAGTTTATTAACATCTTAAAAAAAAAAAAAAAAGGATTGAACAGAAAACAGCTACTGAAAACGGGATAGTTCCTTATTTACAAGTTCTACTGCGAGAGGTACAATTTAATCAGCATTTCCAATAATCAGAGGAGAATTTTTTCTAAAAATACCAGTATTTCACTCTCCAGGTAAAAGATCATTGAAAACATTATGTGACTGCCCCATTAAGAAGCAAACTAATACCTTAAAAATGTATTTTAAAAAAAAAAAAAAGGTAACTGCTACTTAAATGTGAATTTTCACCAAATTATTCTGTGTGTAGCTAACTCAGACAATTTGTTTCCTTAGAAAAGCTAGCCAAAAAAAAGAGCAACACACATGGATGTCTTCATTGAAGTGCATGCTCCCAGGCTAGTTTGAAAAGAAGAGTTGACTTAGGGTTTCCAGAGCTTTAGGAGTCCATCTTCACTGTAGGTAGCAATGAGGTTCTGATGAGGGTGATGGGCAATGCCAATCACATCCTTCTCGTGAACCTGGAACAGGGAAAGCACAGGGTTAGGGCGTATCGGTGTATAACAAATCACTCTGAAGAGGCTCTAAGAGCTAGGTAGTAGGAAATAAGAGATAAGTTTCCACTTCTCACTGAAACAATCATGCCCAAGATGGCTTCACCTGGAGCTTTAGGAGGAGAAAACAGGGAGGCACCAAGGGGGTTAAACAGAGCATTTTTTGTACTGTTTTTCATAATGTGGGAATAACAATGCTTCATCCCAAATCATTTTTGCACTATAGCTAATCCTACTCATCAATACCATTCTGTAAATCCTAGGTCAAAACAGTGGTTGACAACAAAAGACTCTTCCAGCTCAGTGAACCTGTGTCTTCCAGGCACATGAGCTAGACAACACTCCAGTCTCATCTTGTTATTGCTCTGATCTTAGATCTGTACCTGAGGCTTCACAAGGCAGTTGTACCAAAGTTCACTCAATAATAATTCCAGAAAAGATTCTGACATGGGTATGTATAGAATTTGTTCTATATTCACCATACCATGTCTTCTTCCTAAATCGCAGAAGACGACTACATTTTAGGCTGTGGCCACGCGACTAAATTCTGACCAACAGAATGAAGAACAAAATAATGCAAGCATCTTCCAGATGTGGGTCTTAAAAACAGTAAATCAGTATAGCCTTCCAACTACCTTTTCTCCTCCTGAGATCTTAGATGCCATATATTCCAAATGGCACAGCTAAAAGATGGAAGAGGGCTACTCAACTCACATCATGTTGTGACATTAAGAAATAAGTTTTTTCCCCCAAACACCCTTTTAGCTCAGTGGCGAAGTCATTTCCGAGGTTCACCGTTCAGCCGGGGAGAGGACAGCCACATAAAACCAAATGGGACTAATGAGGTACAGCAGTCCAGGGACAAGGGCCAGAAGGCAGAAGGGGACAAGAAAGCTGGTGACAGGGAACCCAAGGTTGAGTAAGGATAGTGTTGATGTGTTGTGAGGTTGTTAACCATTGTCATAGGGCAACATGTGTACTGTTAAATGAGAAACTATTTTGTTCTGTAAGCCTTCATCTAAAGTGAGAATGGCAGCACAACTGGAAGAGCATAGTCGATGTCACTTAACTGTGCATGTAGAAATTTTTGAGGTGGTGTATCTTTGGCTATGTATATTTTCACCAAAAAAAAAAAAAAAAAGATCAAGAAGGGAGAGGGTTGACATGTTGTGGGGTTGTTGACCAATGTCATGAAGCAATGTGTGTACTGCTGTTTCATGGGGAACTGTTTGTTCTGTGAGCCTTCACCTGAAGTACAATAAAAATAAATACATAAAAATAAAAAAAAAAGAAATAAGTTTTTGTGTTAAGCCCCTAGGATCCGGGAATTGTTGGTGTTAATACTGTAATAGACTCTCCTTGCATTGACTCTCAAAACATGGAACTGCAAGTTTTAAAACACCAGCATCGATTTGATAGGATAATGGATAAGTAATCTGTCTTTGAAAGGACATGGCAAGAACTAGCTACATCTGTCACTCTCCAATCCCCATGGGGAAGATATGTCTCATCTTGCCGGCTAATCGAGATAGGGATGTTCCCTTCCTATTCTCTGCTCTATTATACCCATACTATGCCCCTGAAGCTGAGGGCTCACTGAAGGATGACTATTCCTGACAAAGGAGATATTTATGGGTCCTTTATTTTATTTAGTGATAAAATGCCTCCATTACATTTTTTATACCTAGATTCACATTGATAGCAGTCAGTCTGGAAAAGGTGTGTACTTCAGAGTTCAGAAAGACACGCGTTAACAGAGTTTCTTTAGATGACCTTACATTGGTAATACTCACTGTCAAAGTTCTCTCCAGTTTGCCAGTGACTGTGCTGAAACAGTAGAGCACAAAGTCCTCCCCCACACAGTAGATCCACTCACCACGGGGAGAGAGGGCACAGCAAACAAAGTCACCACCTTCTCTCTTACCAGAGCTGAAGCTTCTAACAATCTAGATAATCCCACACCCCAGGGCAAAAAAACAAAACATCCACATTAGCAGCGGCTCAGCCATGTGCATCACTTTAAAGGGACATTTTCACATTGTTATTTCATACTCTGCTTTATTGTCATTTATAATTAAGATCTCCAATTCCATTCATCCCATGCTAAATCCTCTTACCTGGGAAATATTCAACAGAGAGCTATCTAAAATCAGTGGCAGACAGAAGTTTAGAATCCATATGTCCCAAGTCACCAATCCTGCTCCTTAGTCTACTGAGCCATACTCCCCTGAAGCACATTCACCACCATGCATACAATTTTCTAAGTTAAATTAAGTATCACTGGCTCTCAGTGCTTTGTGGACTCGTGTTCCCCAGCATCCTCTTTCTAATAGAGTAAGATACGCTCCCATGCAGGACTGAACTCTGTCTCCAAAACCTTGCTTGCTCTTGCTCTAGTCTACAGAACATTAAAATTATCACAGATGAAGCTGAGGACCCCATGTGCCTAGGCCAATGTGTCAACAGCATCACAACACAAGGCTCAGGGCTTGACACTCAACCTCAATGCTGCTAATGCCCCCAGTGCTACCTCACGGTCCACAAAGTGAGGTTCTTTGGGAACCATGCAGATGTCTTGATTCTTGATTAAATACACATCATGAAGACACCGTTACCCTTTCCCTGTAAGAGTTCTACCTTAGATCACGTGGTAGCTAGGAGATGTCCAGAGCTGGTAATCCCTACCATGCTGGATCTCCCTTCAGACAGGGATGGCTACCTGATAATCTTCACTGAGGTTCTGAAGGAAGCTTAAAGACAGATCAGAGCCTCATTTATCCAAAAGACATAAAAGAAAGAACGTAATGCACACACACTCTGGCAAAAGGAGACAACTGTGAATCACCGAAGAAATGCCTTGTAGAACTATAGTTTAAATAAGTGTCTGAAAAATAAATACAGTGTATATGGAGTGGTGAATCTCTATTTGGTTAGTGCCTTGTACTGGGAGGGCTGGGACCAGGCCATAATGATTTGGGAACAACCTACAGATCCTGTGCAGAAGTACTTTCTGAGCACTCACCTGCCCCTGCATGTTCATGATGACCACCGTGTTTGATCTGTTGCACACCACAAAGTGCTCTGGGTTTTTAGGAAGCAGGATCACACTGTTGACAGTGATGTCTGTCCCCGCAGTGCTGCCCAGGGACTTAAAGGTATTTGAACATTCTGTGGTCTTCATGTTCCAAATCTACCACACAGAAATGTAAGGCATAAACATTTTTTGGTATAAGAATTTCTAAAGTTTTAAGGTTTAAAGACTGAAAATTACGATACTAAAGAGAGAGTAAAACTGACTCAGGACTAGATTTTAAGTCCAATCAAATACCCAGTAATCACTCATCTATCTATTGATTAATTGACATAAACAAAAGTCACAAAGCTAAATAATAAAAGCCTTTTAAAATCTATGAGCTTCTCTTGCAATTTTTTCCTGGGCTCACAGAGCTACCTATCTTTAACACTGGCTATGGGTCAACACTGCTACTGTCATATACAACCAGAAAGCTATCCTTGTCTGAGCATCAAAATCAAATGGGGTACTTCATACCCATTAAGATGGCTATTTTCAGAAAAATAGAGAACAACATGTGTTGGTCAGGGTGTGGAGAAACTGGAACCCTCAAGCACTGCTGGTGGACATGTAAAATGGTACAGCCATTGTGGAAAACAGTTCTAGCAGTTCCTCAAAAATTTAAACATAGAACTACCGTATGACCCAGCAATTCCACTCCTAGGTATATACCCAAAAGATTTTAAGAGCAGGGACACAAACAGATACTTGTACAACAATGCTCGCTGAAGCACTATTCACAATAGCCAAAAGGTAGCAACAACAAATGTGCCCATCAACAGATGAACAGATAAACAAAATGTGGATATTACTCAGCCACAAAGAGAAATGAAGTTCTGATACATGCTATGACAAGGATCAACTTTGAAAACATTATGCTGGGTGAAAGAAGTCAGACACAAAAGGATAAATATTATATGAGGCTACTTACATTAAATATCTAGTATAGACAAATGCAAAGAGACCAAAGTTTATCAGTGGTTGCCAGGGGCTGGGGGGAGAAGGGGATGGGGAGTTATTACTTAAGGTGCACTGAGGTTCTGTCTGGAGTGATGAAAATAAATTTGGAAATAGACTGGTGATGGTGGCACAATATGGTGAATGTAATTAATGTCACTGAATTATATGCTTAAAAATGGTTAAAATGCAAAAATTTTTGTTATATATTTTATCACAATCAAATGTTAAAAATACATACTAGGAAAAAAAAAAAAAATCAAATGGGAGCTTTTTAGATTCACATGCTTGGAACCCTATGCTGAGATTCTGATTTGGCAGGCCTGGGGTGGGACACAGGCAGGTGTATTTTTAAAAGGCTCCACAAACGATTCTAATGTGCAACCTGTACTGAAAACCACTGAACAGAAGTCCAAACGTTAGCACACACGAGGAGTCATGAAGTAGAAGCCACTCTCAGTCACTTGTATTAACTTCTCCCAGTCCAACATCTCTTCTAGGAACAGTTCTCCACCCTAATGCCTTTCACCTTGCCCTTCTGGCCTGTAATGAACTGAAGTAGTTATAAATCAGACATCACAGTTATTGAAATCTGAGATGTGCTTGGAGAAGAGATGGACAAATACTGCATGGCACTGCCTGGAAACCACTCATTTAAGGATACAAAAGCCTCCAAGGCATAGACTGTGCTCTATGTTCCCTCTGTCTTCAACACAGCTAAGCACAAAACAGATGTTTAATACCTAAAGACAGGAGGAAATAGTCGTCCCACTAGCCCTAGTGTTGATTTTCTTAATCAACACTGTCTCATCTGCCCCAATCTCGTCTCTGAAGCCCAGTTGCCTAGGAGAGAAATAACTATTTCAGGGATCAAGAGTAACAGGCTTCTGGTGTTTTCTATCCAAAAGGTCAGTGAGATGCTTTACTCTACTCATTGCAGAACCACGGGAAAGACCACAGAATGGAGAGGCCTAGACAAACCAACTCCCACTGGCATTTACAGGGTATGAGGCCCATGTATACAGCACAAAGAGGGCAAATCCCATGACTAAAGTACTAAAGCCCTGTGTGCTTCCCCATCCCTCCTGCAGAACAGCACATCTCCTGCCTTCTGGTTTCTGTTTTGATACCCAGAGGAAGCACTTTTGGAGGGGGCTCTGACTTTAGGTGCTTGCAATAAAATGCTGAGCTCTTCTGCCACAAGGCACTCACTTACATAAGGGCAATTTAAAACAAGTGGGTCCAGTGTGTAAATGCAGTGTCTCAAAGATCTCTAGCAATTTTCTACTTGGGTTTCTCATATTTTTTGTAGGAAATGAGACACTCTCTTCAAATAACTAAACCTTTTAAGGTACTTAAGATCCATTACTCTCAGTTGAGGATGGTTAAAGAAGTATCTAACAGAGGACTTAGTTCTACTCTGCACCTCTCCTCCTCCTCCTCTATGAATGCTGTTAGGATTGGGAGGCTGTACAACAAAACAGAGATCTACTTGGCTCTTTGTAAACTGTTAGGGGACAGACCTCACTATCTATGGCATGACAGATTTTAATCACTGTGCTTATCTGTGAATTGGGAATGACTTCAGTTTAAGACTTCACACGTCCTCTTTTCCTACACATGATAAAGTTTGTTTGGATTTTTTAGGCTTGAGAGTTGAGGTCCTTATGCCAATAGGAGTTACCGACAGAACATCATTGTTGTCTTAGACTGACCTCAATTATGGCATAAATAGCTAATAAAGAAGTTTTTTCCACCACAGTTGTCACCACTGATAACTCCTCAAAGGATGAAGATGGAACAGACACCCCAAAATAAACCAGCATCAAATACTTAACCTTTACGGTGCCATCAGAGGATGCACTAATAATATAATGTCCATCTTGTGTAAACGTTGCTTCATTAACAAAGGAGGAATGGCCACGAAATTCCTTCAGAGTTTTACCAGACTTTAAGCCATGAATTCTATCACAAATAAAAAGCAAATGAAAAGAACAATTAATATTCTATATATTATGCCAGGGACCAAGTGCTGAATGTATTTTAGATGAATTATAGAAGTTCATGTCATAATAGTAAGTGAAGAAAGAGGGCTATGCAATTGCGTATACAATATAATTTCCATTACTTCAAATAATCAAACAAAATCAAAATCAAAATCTTTGCACAGAAAGAGACTGGAAGAAAATATGCCAATACCATAAGCTTCTGTTCGAGGACAGGCCTCTAAAAAATTTAGTTAATAAGAGATTCAGGATCAGTAGGTCTCAGCTGGATCCCAGGGATATGTATTTGTAGCAGGGCCTCCAGGTGATTTTCATGTAGGTGGCCAGAGACTACACTTTGAGAAACATGAAACACTGTTATAATCCCTTTCTCTCTCTCTTCTGGGTAGAAATGCAAACAAATGGATAGCACCGCCTCAGCCGTACTCTGACCAGGGAAATGAGGTCTCACACACCCTTACTGTCCACATCACACTGTCCTGGTAAAGACATAAGGAATCACTAGTACCTCCTCCTGGGCCTCATTATAGCATACGCAAGTGACGGGAATTTTGAGATTCTTACTTACCTAATTGTCTGGTCAAAAGAGGCACTCAGGATCTGACTGCTATCCTTAGAAAAGCTTAAACAGGTGACACCTTTACTGTGTGCCCTTTCAAATCTCCTTAAACACTGTCCACTCTGAATCTTCCACACCTTTATAAAAAATAGTAAAAACTTGTCAACAGAGTGTCCACTATAGCCCACAGAGCCAAGCAAGATGCAATGTTCACTAATGTACTGCAGCATTAAAAATGCAAGCTAATAGCTAAATATGGTATGTCTGCTTCACATAGTACGATGATAACTGAATCCTTTGAAACTTAAATTTTTTTCCTTGTAAATTATTAAAACCATAATTTAGACTCCAAGTTCACTTAGCAGAAACCATTTCTAATTTTATCTAGACCCTGGTGTTTTACCAGCAATTAAATACAAACCACAGCTAATCAGCTGTAGCCCATCCCCTAAAAAAATAAGGTACAATACATCACATGAGCTGAGTCAGGGTGGTACAGCAGAAAGGGCGCGAGCAGATCTGGCTTGAAATCCCAGATCCATCACTTACCATCTTCAACAAGTTGTGACCTTAAACAAGCTACTGGACTTCCCCAGGCAGTTATTATTAGGATTAAACAAGAAAAAATAAAGTGGTTAGCATAAAGTCAATGCTCAATAACCAGTAGCTGTTATTATGCAGAATATTATGTGTAGGACACGACCTCATTACAGAGGAACTCCCAAAATGGCCATGTACAAGAGTTTGTGTCACTAATTCCATACCTTGATTTTTCCATCTTGGGCCCCAGTTGCTAACATTTCTGTATCTCTGCTGAAACACATGCAGAGGACAGCATCATCCATCATCATAAAGTTGTCCTGGGCCTGGTACTTAAGATCCTAAAGGAAACGATGGTAAGCAGTTATCAAAGTGACACTAAAGCCAAGGCCCCAGTTGTCTCAGATCTCTACAAACTCACTAAAAGCAGGATAATGGACTCTGCAAACTATAAATCTCCAAAGCAAACAGTAGTGCTGTGCAGGCATGGTTCCTAATAAACAACTGATAATGATGGGAATAAATAATTTTATACAATTCAAATTAATACTGTAAAAAAAAAATGCAAACATAGCATCCTAGATCTTTTACTTACTGCCTCATATTTAATTTCGCTTTGGCTTATTTTCTTTCCATCTTTTCTAGGCAAAATTTCCCTATAGTTCCATATTTTATACATGGCTCTTTAATAAATCTGTATTTAGTTAGAGGTATGAGATGAGAAATTAAACTAGTGGGTTTTCCCAACTGTCAGCTACTTTTCCTAAAACTGTCTATTTATTTGTGATGTTCCTTTTATCATCCATTATTGTTCAAATGAAAATATTTTTAGCATTTTTCCTAATTATAAAGTGATATTGCTTCATGTAAAAAAAAAAAAAAAAAAAGCAAACTATAGAGAAATATATAAAGTAGAAAGTGAAAATCATTCATAAATCTACTATACAGGGAATGGAATTTAGCACTCTATGATAAGGATTACATTTTACATTAGTGGACAAAAGATGGCCGATAAATAGATTTTTGAGAAGAAAGTTGGATCTTTACCAATTTTATCCCCCTAAACAAATTCCAGATGGATAAAACATTAAATGTAAAATGAAATAATAAAAGTACTAGAAGAAATTATGGGAGGATAGGTGGATAAACTTGATAATATAAAAAATTTTAACTGTAAAGCAAAATCATAAGCAAAGTCAAAAAGGTTAAAATGGAAAAAATATTTGCAATAAACACTGCAAAAGGCTGACTCACTTCCTCAAAATATAAAGAGCTTCCATAAATCAGTAAGAAACAGGGCAACAACACAATAGAAAAATGGGCACAGGATATGAACAGACTTCACAGAAAAGGAAATATTGGTGGCTTTTCACATACATATATATGTTCAATTTCACCCATACTAAGAAAAATACAATTAGTACTGTAACTAGTTTAGAACAGAAACGATCTTAAATAAAAGTGGTTAAATCATGATTCAATCCATGAAACGGAATATAATACAGCAATGATCTTCAAGAGATACTATAAAGAGAGAAGCAAGGAGAACAGGGTGCATAGTATGCTATCATCTGTATAAAAAAAAAGATTTCAAAAAGGGTATACTAAGTAATTGCTTGCATAGACTATTTCAGGAAGGTTACATAAGAAACATGGATGGCCTTAGGAAGGGAACTGACTGGCTGAGAGACAAGGGCTAGAGCAAGACTCTTTACTGAATAACTTTTACTATATTTTAAATGTTGCATCAGGTGTACATACTACCCATTCAAAATATAAATTTTAAAAATAATGGATAATAAAATCCCTCCCTTGATTACTAATAGGGAATTAAAAATAACTTTAAATGGATTTTTTAAATTATAAAAGTAATACATGTTCATTACAGACAGACCCTTGCTCAACTCATCTGGCTTAGAGACAGATGTAGAATATATAATTCAAAGTCAATAATCCTCCCACTAGGGAAGTTAATATATTTAAAATACTTTACCTTCCTGATTTTTCCAGTCGTAAAGTTCCACACTTCAATGAATCCATCAACAGACCCAGTGACCAGATACTGACCATCTGGAGAAAATCGAGCACACTCCACATGTGATTTCTGACCAAACTGTTTCAAATGACAATGAAATAGATGCATTTTATCTAGTGGCCTTAAAACAATTCTCCTTTTAACCTTGTGACAAGTCCTACCCTAGCATAAAGTAACAGTCACAGCTGCCCCATATTAATGAGTACCTGAGGGGAGTTTCTTAACCTGGACATAGGGAAATGATGGGTGTATTTTCTCTGACCAGTTTTATTATGTCTAGGCTCTCAGTCGAAACTGGTTTTCTGAATGTGGAATTAATAGTTCCAAAGGAAGGGAAAATACTGTTTTAACACAGAATTTAGAACAAATACTCCTGTTAGCTCAGAACTTGAGTTATTAGAACCAGCTACTGTGAACATGGCTTTCACACTCAACCTAATATGGTCTAGTATGCTCCTGTTGTGCATCTAGGAAAAAAACCTAATACGGTCTAGTATGTTCCTGTTGTGCATCTAGGAAAAAAAAAGAATTCTTTCTCGATGAATGTACGTTTTCCTACGCTATTTTGTAAACAAATTTTCCATTACCATTTTTTTTCATCATTTTCACTTAATCTAATAACAGTGTGTAGCTGCCTAATTCTAAAAGAACTAATTAGAGCTGACAGACTATTGATGCCTGGTAAATGCATACTGAGCATTTACCAGTAATGCTGCTCCCAAAAAAAGATGAAAAGTACAGAACATCAAACATATGGGAAGAAGAGAGAAAAGATCTATTGTGAATTTCATTTTAAATGCCAAAAAAGAGAGTGTTTATAACAGAAAATTTTGCGCAACAGTGTAATCATAATGGGCTTCTATTTGTTTCAAGGCTTCAGCCAGGTTAAATAAAGGTTACTGCTAAAAAATATCTTTATATGCAAATCAGAACAGGTAATCTGGAAAAGACAAATTCAAAATACTAAACCAAAGTCAAAGATATGAGGAATATAAAACTATTTTTAAATCCATTAATTCAATTAGAGTAAAAATCCAGAGAGAAGATGCTGAAGTAAAAACATGCCTGTAATTCTGAAAATGCAGCAATTACCTCATTATGCTTTCTCCTAGAAAAGCCCAGATAATTAAAAAAAAAAAGAAAAGAACTAATCAGAAGATGATAAAATCACTTTTCTCAAAAACCAGGTAAGTCCACTTTATATTCCACACCTGGAACTTTGCCTGACATGTAGCTGGCAAACACACAAATGTTGAATAGGACAAATATATACAAAGTCCATAGTCAGTCTCAGGGTAAACCCAAACGCAGGCTTCTTGGGAATGAACTAAATGTCAAGTGTATCATTACACTTGGTAACAGGTCTGAGATGTGCCACTGCCAGGCCACAGCACTACCCCAGTGGACACCAGTAGCAACCTTGAATGATCTTCCGGGGCTAGAGAGTGAGGTCTGCTTGGCTAAGCTCCTAGCACAACGCTAGGCTGACCACATGAAGAGTGCTCAACAAATGCTTACTGACCAACTGCATGTCTAAGAATCCTACCTTAATATGCCTACTCAGCTGCGTAGGAAACTTTTCTTCTTCTACATCTTTGACAGCTGCTTTGCCTCGGAACAAATCTATGGTCATGCCGGGAGGGAGCAATCCCTGGTGTTGCTGCCATTTCAGTGCCTGTGAGAAAAGAAATGTACTGTAATCCACTCAGGTGCTTTTAAGGGCTGATCCTGATTGCTCAAACAAAGCCAAGCCTGAAAGAATGAGGTTCAGAGGAAATGGAGTTATTCACACCCCCAATCATCTCTGATCATCTACACTCAGCATTATCTGTGCTTCTCTGCATGTCCTAGGGACACAGGCTGACTTCAGGGTGGAAGGGAGCAAACTGAGAGCAACGAGTCGATCTGTCCCAATCAATTTTCTTATAGGCATGGCTTTTTCATTATAAACAAAATTTTGGAAAACAGGTATCTCCCATAGTTCCAACACACAAACATAGCCACAGTTAACATTTTCTGTATTACCATGTAGCCTTCCCCCACATTATATAGGTGTTTAATTAACACAGTTTTAATTACACTATACGTAAAACTTTATGTTCTCATTTTTTCACCTTTCACTGGATCATGCTATGAATCATCTTAATGGCTATAAAATGTATCCTAGCTAGTGGATGTTTTGTAGTTTATCTAATCTATACATGGTGGACATTTACACTGCTTCCAGTTTTTCACTCATCCAAAAAATGCTGCAATGAACTAATCTTCTTCTATTTGGGGAATTTGGGGATTCTTTCCCCCTCAGACTACATTCCTAGAAGAGGAATTACTGAATCTAAAAAAGATCATGAAAGACTCTTGATACACATTGCCAAAATGTTTTGGCAAAATGGTTGGTTTCCAAAAATGCTGCAATTGCAATATATAAGACTGCACTGTGGGAAGTGGAAAAATCACGGACTTTGGAGACAGATGGTCCTGGGCTAGACTATTTGCCAACTATGTTACTCTGACCTCCAATTTCACCCACCGAAAAAGTCAGGGAAAAAGCCTAATTCCTAAAACTGCTGAAAGGATAAAACAAAATAGCATAAGTAAAACCCATATAACAGGCTGAAAAGTGAATGGACCAGTGGCAACCAAGAACAGAGAAAACTGAAATCTAATTATCTAAGGTAGGGAAGCCGCAAGAAGCAAGCCAAACTACCTGGCCAAACTCCAAAAAGACTCAGGAATTGGAGGCACCATATATCCCTGAAGGGGGGCATGAGGCTGAAAACAGGGGCAATGGCTGAAAGTCTGTATAAAGAGCAGTTAGCTCTCCTAACCCTACACAGCAGGTGACTGCCTCGTCCCAACCTCAAGAGAAGTCAGGTGGTTTATTTTCTGGAAAGGTTGAGGTCTTCGGCTCTGGAAAACCAGGTGGAGCTGAGAGTATAGGTGAGAAGCCATGATGAAAACAGAAAGATTAAGAGCAAACTGGTATGCTAAACAGTGACATTATTTGCCACATAGCTGGTAAGTGAGAGAACTAGGCTCTCTCGCAGTAGATCCAATGTGCCCAGGACAGTTCCCATTTGCACCTGGTATCCTGACATAATGATCAGTAGTGTCCCCTTTCAATCTCAAAAGTGTCCCAGATTGAATGACAGAGTCTACAGTCATCCTTATTCTAATCATTCTAAAGCTTCTGCTATTAACCACTAAGTTATGCTGCCTCTTTCAGGAGACAGGGAGAGTGGCATGGTACAGCTCTTGGTATAATACAAGCAGGTCCAATTCCTAGGATGTCTGATTTATTTAACTCATATATATAATTAATATAAAGGAAATAGTATGGGGAGTTCAGGGTAATTTCAGTTCCACCAGCATTTAATTACCTGTCCCAGCAATGCCATGAGACGAGATGGAGGGACCACACTGACTTCCCCTGCTAAGGCCTGGGCAATTGCTGCTCTTCTCTTCTCTTTGCTACTTCCATCTGGGTATGCCTGAAAAAGGAGAGCCAGTAACATCATTTCCATGAAGCAGCTGCAAGATATGAATGTGCTTATTTAAACAACAAGAGAAAAAGAAAAAAAAGCGCAAAGAAGCGGAAATGTTCAAGGAGGAAACTATGAACAGAAATTACCCAGTTAGAAAGATTACTTAAAACAACATCATTTTTAAAAGTAGACTTTCCAAATCTGCCCAGTTGTATATCAAAAGTGTGAGTTGGAAGGTCAGTCAATCTACACTGGTACTTCTGAAAAGAGTCCAGGTAAACCACATCAAAGTCAGAGTTGCTTTCCAGTTCTTGAAAAATCTGCAGAACTAAAGATTCTATTTTATTCCTTGGTAATTTATTTCAGTTAAGTGACTCCCAGCCCAAAAGTTCTTCACAGTTCTAACTTAAATCCTGTCCTGGTAATCTAAACTCCTTTCGTTTATCCTCATGGTTTCTGTGAGTTTAACTTTCCATTATCTAGTGCCTTTTAAATTCTTCCTCCTCCTATTTAGACAAGACTTTAGTGAAAGGGGGCTGGGTGGGAAAAAATGAAACTATACATATAGTAAGATTTGGGAAAAAGAAAAGACTCTTAAGTCACTGTGCTCTACCAGTCAGCATGGTCGGCTGAGAAGCATAAGCACCAACTTCTAGGGACTGGAAGAGCCGAGAGAAAAATGCAATTGTCAGAGGCAAGGGACACCAATGCAGTGAACACACTAGCAGTCAGGCAGCATTTCAGGGCCAGATAAGTACTTGGGCAGATGTGGAAATGATATCAGAATAAAATTTTCTGCTTCTTTACTAACCAATACACAATCCTCTAAAATGGAGGGTGTGTGAGGGAAGATCCTTAAATACTCAGAAACTGAACAAGATTATTCTAACATATGCAAATTTCAGCCAACATATATGGACAGAAAATAGTCAAAAATTAAATCAAAATTATAAAATGTTCCTAATAAAAAGGTTAAAAGATCACATTATCACATATTTCCAAAGTTAACAATAATTTCTTTTTATTACCACAGTCATACCTCACGAGGATCAAAATAAGACCTGGCCAAGAGGTTCTCCAGATGAATATACCGTTCTGGCTGTGTTTGTTTTAACATGATCATAGGGTCAGTCTGTCTCAGAAGTGACCTGGCAGCACCCAATTCACGGAGCTCTATCAATTCTAGAACAACCTGTTGAAAGAAAATGGCTACTTCAACATATTCTCTTATTTTCTTTTTCAACGCAATTTCTGATGCAGATATGGCCTGCCAAAGAGATTTCCAATACTGGGAAATGCCCCTTCTCCTTTTTACTAGAAATTTCAGGTGGACAACTGAAGTAATTATTGGTAATAATTCCTTCAGATCTTCAACCTCCATCCTTCTTTAAAAAAAAAACACTATAATTTAGTTTTAGGTTTTCAGAAAAATTATGCAGCAAGTACAGAAAGTTCCCATATACCCTTCTCTCCACTGCCACTGTTTCTCCTACTGTTAATATCTTACCTTTCTGTGGTACATTTGTTATAACTGATGAACCAATACAGACAGATGTTTAACTAAAGTCCACAGTTTACATGAGGCCTCGCTCTTTGCATTGTACAGGTCTATGGGATTTGAAAAATTCATGTCATGTATCCACCATTACTGTATCATACAGAACAGTTTCACTGCCCTCAAAGTGCCTTGTGCTTCACTTATTCATTCCTCCCCCTCCTTCCCTGACCCCCTGGCAAGCACTGAACTTTTTACTGTCTTCATAGTTTTGCCTTTTCTAGAATGTCATATAGTTGGAATCATACAGTATGTAGCTTTTCCAGACTGGCTTCTATCAGTTAGCAATATGCATTTAACGTTCCTCCATGTCTTTTTTTTTTTATTTATTTTTTGAAAACGCAATTTTATTTTTTTTATTATTGTACTTCAGGTGAAGGCTTACAGAACAAATAGTTTCTCATGAAACAGTAGTACACATATTGTTTT